ACGAGAATTTTTTTGGCAATTCTAGCCGGCTTCTGAAAACTTTTAGAATTTTTTTCCTGACGCTATGAAATTCCATATTTGGACATCCCAATCCTCAAGAATAACAGACGACTGCAAGCAGCCAGGGCGCCCTTTGATGCAGTTTTTCCTGAATCTTTCCGATATACTTCTTTCCTTACTGTTTTATATAGAGGAAAAAATCTTTGTAAATCTTGTTTCCAGACTCGTCTGTATCCAGAAAATTCGGGATTCAACATTTTGAAACGCTTAACGCTCAGCTGCTTGTAGCATCAAGTGGTAAACTGTTTTTGGTTTCATACGAAGATTTATTAGTGTTTGAAGCGTTTGTGTGTTTCACGATTTTGCAAAAATAAAGACTTTCAGAAAAATTACTTCAAGAAATACTGAAAAGCCAGTCAAGGAGGCCAAAATAGTTCATTGTATTGCATTTTGTTTATTCTATCCAGTTGTTATCAAAGGTAGTTTGGAAGTTAGAAATGTGAATTTGGAAAAAAAAAGCCAAACTCAGGATGGGTCAGCTATGGCTTAGAGATTTGGATGATTATTTGAGCGGACATCAAAGGAATCTGAACAAAAATATAGCGTTAGAAACAGGAAGGAATTCAGCATCGAACACTTGTAGACCATTCGTCTATCGTTATTTTAACATCAAGTGGTTCGAGCACGGGTCTTAAAAACGGCAGGAACTTTCGGATCCACCTGTAATACTTGTAAGTGATCAAAATAATAAATAAATAAATAAATAAAAAATAGTTTTCAATCCCCGAAAATTCAAACCAGCCCTGTAAAAGTTCCTTGTTTGGGCGCTGAAATTTGCGGTCCATTCACCCACGAAAGTCGTTGAACTAGTAGCACATACAATCTAGTTTTTTAGGGGAAGGTTGTCAAAGCAACGTCGTCAGCAATTTCCTTTTAGGGCATAACGGCGCCAGAAATTGTGCAATTTTCTTTGATATTTCATGTTCCTACTTACCATTAGCTGAGCGATTGTGCATTGTTTGATCGAGTTTGTCATTGAAGCCATTGTGAAGCCAGTTCTCGTTTTGAAAGCTGACACAATCGTTCCAGTGTTGATCATCATAGATCAGAGCAAAACGTGACGAGGCGAATCAGTCGTTCTTTGCTTCCGCCGTTTAGCGCCAGTTCTGTTGTATTTGTTCGCCATTGGCTTGTCCAGCAGGTTGCTTTTCGTTATTGGGGGGGGGGGAAGACTGGTTTCTTATTGATAACTTTTGTTGTTCGACGGTCTTGTTGGACCTGAATATTTTCTTTCATCTGCGAGCCTTTCGCAGCCTTTCGCTAGACGTCACATCGATTTTTTCCCCTCCGGGATTAGCCGCCGCCATAATTTAGGCCTGCCTTAGTTTTGCAACAATTTTACTTCGATCTTTGGAGTATTTTGCGTTTTATCTTATAGCAGACGTCATTGAAAGTTCATATCCTGACGCTGACACTCTTTTATTCCTTGAGATAACTGAAACAGAAAATTTTGCATGTTCCACGCTCAATATTCCTTAAGCAGTTGTTGCTTGGTTTCGTTTTTGGTTACTTTCTTTCACAGTTTTATAAAATTCGTGTCTTGATCCATATCATTGGACTGGAGCACACGCCCTCCCCCCAAAATAATTCAAATATTGTAAGTAGTCATGCTTTCTTTTAATCTGCCTAATTTATCCAAGTTAGAGAAATGGAATCATGCGTTTTCTAGTGCTCAAAGCATGATTTTATGGCAGATCACGGTAACCAAAGCTATTCAAGAAGAATATTCTGATCTCACCTTGCATTTTCGAAAACTATCCTGATCGTATCCACCATGAATTCTAGAATTTCCAAGAACATTCCATTTTGATTTTGGTTATGATTTACAACTCAAACTCTTCAACTGTGAGAAAATTGTGGCAAGTGGATGTTTTCATTACCATTTATTTTTCGGCTTTTTCAACTTGATTTTGATTTTGTATCGAGTATAATCTCTGATATGCTTGTAAAATAGAGTGCTTATTGTTGGCTACAAAATAAATAGAATATGCTTCAACATTGTTTCAATAATTTCAGGTGATTCAGCATATTTTGGTGCAAGATTTAGTAGGGCCTCTCAATTTTTTTCCGATTTAACAAAAATTGTGGTCTTTCTGTTTTTTTTTCTCTTTCTCGAGCGCGGCTTGGGTAATCATACCAAAAAAGAAAGGCAAGATCTAAGGTGGTTATGAAAGATCAGCTAAAATCGCAGTCCACGTTGAGCTTATAGCACAAATTCTGATGGTACTCATAAACGGAGTATAGCTTTAATCAACGTGTCTCTGTTCCTAAACATTCCCCAGATCATTCACACAAGTACTTGGTACATTAGACATTATATCATGCAATTCTCTATTTCTTCCATTACTAAAAATGGAAAAAATGATTGTGGTAAAATGGCAGATTCCTCTTCTAGTGGTCATGGGTCTAATAATCATATAGTGCATGTATTGGTAAATACGATCATGCCGTACCGTTGAAGATACTCTCGCTGTCTAGAAATACCAATTTTGATGTTGAAATCGAAAAAAAAACTATGAGACAGCCTAATATGAACTAATCTAATGACGCATAAAAGCTTCGCTTTCATGAGAACTGGCGGGCAATTTGCAAATATTCACAATGTCCGACAAATTGGATTTTTGAAGAAAAACTCATGAGCCACTCTTCTCACGGGCCAGTATATGTACGCGAATTGTGAACACATTTGACTCAGTTCTCGGCTGGTTTTCTAACCATTACTAAACTTGTTTATGTGAGTTAGGCGAGGACGCACGTTGACTGTTGCTGTAGCCTCGGACTTCTATGTTATGGACATTATCTTCATCAGAGCAGGCAGGATTGAATGCTCATAAGTTGAAATGTAGATTGTTTGTTGAATTCTCTTCACTGAATAAATTTTTCCGGACACCTCGCCTTGTTCATAGCAACCTGTTGATTTTGCTGCCGGTATGTAAGGGCCTTTGATTTCATTACCAGTCTGCGCTTCACCCTTGTCTATTCTGTACTCCACTGATGCCTTCCTCTGAAATCTATTGGATTTGCGCTCACATGCTAACATGCTGAACGGCAGTTGTAACATTCATTATAGCTCCAGTCCAGATAAGTTAGTTGTCGTACAGCTATGAAAAAAAAGATTTTTTGCAAAACTTAGAGTCTCGTCGATGTTTTTCGAATACTGTCATATCTGAATAAAATAACATCAAAGTTAGGTTGCTGATAAACGATATTGTTTTCATTATTTGCCTTCAATGCTCTCCTCTCTCATAGCTTTTGTATGTCAGCGTTGTGTCAGCAAATATGAAATTTGAATTTGTACTGCTGACTACGAGAATAGTTGTTATGCATCGTTGCATTTCTACAGCTGCCACATAACTTTGTGATTGCTCAGCTTTCGAATAGTTATAACGTTATTCAATCAGGGCTCAACACAGGTGGCTTATAAGCAAGTTGGGTATCTTTTTGGGACAAAAAATGAAGGGAATGTCGTTTTTTGTGCCTGAAAAAACCACTTAGGTTACGCTTTTTTTCGACGTTTCGTTTCAGGGTGTTTTTTAAGTTTAGGGTTTAGGCTCAAAGGGGAGCTCGTAAAGTTTTCCGAAAGAGGGACTTCGTTTTCTGCATTTTCGGAAAGCCACGTCGTGGCGAGCCCTGTACTCTGTGTGGGCCAAATAGCTGCCTATCATTTCGAAAAATTGTATGCTTATGTCCCGAGTGTTCAAGTTCAAGTGCATGCCGTTGATATCTGCAAAAACTAAGCATCTTGTCCTAGGCACAAAGTTCCGTACTCCACATAGTCACTGATTCCTCCTGACACGAAACGCTTTTCACCGATTGAGCAACCTTACGCTGTTTTTTTTTTGCTCCCGCTAATTTTCATTTTTGGAGACTTTGAAATTGGGCCATGTTCCTTTATGAGACTGCTTTTGAAAAATGATTACAATCAATTATCTCCATAAACATTTTTGAGACATACAGTTGACATTTGGCTAACTTTGTACTCCTCAAAACGCCTCTTTATAAGTATGAACGAAATAAACTTCCATTTGTTGCTCGTTGACATCCACCATTCATGGTGTTCGAACGTTGCAGTAACCGGTTCACTTTCCTTTAACGGTGCCCGTCGGTCTCGCGTGCTATAATCATAGAACAAACTAGATGAACTATGTTTGATCTTTGGAGTTCCTTTTCTGTCTGTAGATCTTGATGATAAAGGTCGTAAAGGCATATTGCCAGCAAACTTGTCTGAAGATCTTCCGTCTCTGTTGTATTTAGGTTTTTTACCAGCTAAAACGTTTAGCAATTGATTATCCTTGGTTTCGGACCGGCCCTCTCTTTTCGTAAATTTTTCCACAATTTTACCTGAGATAATCTATTTGCATGTTCCTCTAGCATAAAAGTTTTCAAAGTTGTCACTGGTATCGCAATTTTGCTGTGCGATCAGACCTGGGGCTTCATAAGTAAAAACTTCATAAATAAATGTGAGTGATAATTTTTGTTCACTTCCTTTTACCGCGAGCCCATACCTTTTGCCATTCTACTTATAATTTTCATCTATTTATTTTCGTTTTGTTTGATTGCTTTGTTTCTGTCTATTACTGAACCTAGTCCTATTATCGTAGTTTTCTGGACGCTATTCAGAAAACTACGATAATAGGATCTAAATCTATAGTTGACTGCACGGGATCGCCCGGATTGAGCACCTGCGCGCATGTCTCTGGCGGGCTTACATTGGCATTCGCGCGCATGAATCATCATAGCGCCTGTACACGGCAGCCGCGTTGCAGGCACGCTCGCGAGCGTTCAGCCTACAGCGATCCGGACGATTTCGTGCAGCCGACTTTATCTGTCCTTCATTTTCATTTTTTTCTCCAAATTCGCTGTGACGTTCCGTAGCATTGAAACAAGCAGTTAATCGTACATTTAACTAATTAACTTCCATCATGAACTTATCAGAGAGTATTCTTTTCTTAGAACTCCTGCTACAAACTGGTAGCTGTTTATTCTCTCCGCCTACCTCGTCCTGTTGACACTCAGCCATAGTCATGGTGAGTTGACCTCGAACAAGAACATCTAAAACTTGACGGGGCATGCCCTTGGAATAAGCGTTGATGTTCTTCAAAACAAGAAGTGACCTAGTGGCTTATTTCTGTAGCCTGAAAGCCTAACAATTTCAGTCTTTCGCTGACGTTGATGAGATTTTCGGCGCAGAAGATGTTCGACCTGGTTATGACATGCTCAAAAAGGTGAGTTTTAGAGGTATAGACTTTTTTGCACCATATACCGTATACTAGTAAGTGTTCGCTGCCCTTAGGCAAACGAAGTTTTGAATGCTCTACAAATCTATGAAAAGAATTGATATTTGCTCTATAGATGAGATGCTTCTTGTATTACGTGATCAGCACTTTGCCAACATCAGTGTTACGGTAATGTACTGTAATGGTGCAAAGGGGCTGCTGCTGGATTTTTACCCAGTATGATTATTCCCTTCGCTAAAGCTGTTCTCTTTCTCTAGCGTTACGACGCCGGCGAGAATTCATCCGAATTGCTTTGGAGACTTGCCAAATTCTGCCACGAACTAGCTGCGCGCACGAGTGATAAAGGAAGGAAAAAGGAGTTGATTTTCGAGGGTTGGGAGTTTTAACTAATTGAAACAATTAGCAAGGGAAAATTTTTTCTCTTCAGGAAAATCTTACGCTCTGGAAGGTTATCAAGCGAATGAAGATGATTTTCAAGCACTAAAATGGGCAGCCATCATGACAGGGAAATCTACTGATTATCTAGGCACTAAGCAACGTATCGAAGAAGGAGGAAAGTTTAAGGTAGACAATTTTTTGGGAATTTTTTTAACGTGATTTTGATAGAGCTCACTTATAGGAACTCCTCGATAAAGCCTTAGGAATGGAAGCCAGAGAATTTACTCTGCTACATATGCGAGGAAGATACTCCTACTCAGTTGCTAGTCTCTCCTGGTTTGAGCGGAAGGTGAATTTCTTTTTCAAAAAAAATTTGAGTTCGGCAGAAAATTCAAGGAATTTAGGCTGCTGCTGTTTTTTATGCTACGCCACCTTCAGCTACCATGGATGAAGCTCTGGTTGATTTCCTAGCCGCTGAGGAAGAAAAGCCCGAGTGGATAGAAAATCTCATCTACATTGTTCGTATTTACTATGCAAAGAACGACAAGGTAATGAACTCCCTACTGAAGTGAGGGGACGTGGAGAAAGACTGATAACTTTTTTAGGAAAATACGAAGAAATACTGCAATAAATTGCTTGCTCTTACGCCGACAGACGAAGATGAACGTGATCGACTGGATGAAGCGAAGAAAATACTAGCCAAGTGCTAAAACGGGTTTTATACGCATTTTGTTTTCTGTACCATACCAAGATTAAATATTTTGCATGTTTTTTACATGGCAACATCAAAGTGCGTTTACTGGAGAATACATTTTCTGGTAAAGTAACCGATTCTTCAATGTGGCTTCAGCAATGTTTTTCGAAAAAACTGGAGGGGAAAATTTGCTTATGGATCAAGAAACCAGCAGCACAATACAATAATCGACAACAAGCATTTGCAACAGTTCCCCTTCCCCTCCCCACTTCTCACCCCTCATCCGCGGTAATTAAACACTTTTCGAAGGACATTAGTGTAAAATTGAATGGTGGTTTTTCAAATACACACTTTTTCTCCTCATGTATTCCTTATACGGTACCAACGAAACTTCGAAAAGCAATCGGAAAGCGATAAACTTGAAAACCGCGCCAAATTTCGCACCCGTTCCTTTTGAGTTTTATCGCTACCGTTTGAGAGTTCACCCGCTCGCTTCTTGACTGTATTCTTGTATTCCACTCGCTTATGTTTAGAATGGAAAATCTTTTAGCTTCAATAATTTCCCCTTTCCACGCAAAAGCAGAATTCGACATTTTTTTCTGAAGACAATTTACCAGTTGCATACTTAATCCGCAGGAGGTCACAGTTCTTTCGTTCACTGTGGATGACCTCAAGGTTAAGAAAGAAAGAGAATAAACTTCTTTTGAGGAAGGAAACTTAGCTAAGATTATCTGGAAGATCCTTCAAAAAATTTGCCTGTCATTGAGCAGATAGCAATGGAGTCTCGCCTCACTTCTCTTTATTTCTGCGTACATGACTTTCTGCAACCTTTAGATCCCTGCAAACTAGGGGCTACTTCATTATCAGCTGGTTTTTTAGAGTCTAACACTAAGACCACAAACATAAGGAGTTTTTGACATTGCTCGCTCCTCAACTGGATAAACTAGGAACAATTTTTAGCTGTTTACTGTGCTTAGTTTTTTCCTGCATAAAAGCTTCGTCTAGTAAGCACATACTACGCCAAAAAAGAGAGGAGGAAGCGAGGGGAGAAGTGGGGAAGAGTGGTGGTCAAACTATTGCCGTATTTCTAGTCTAATAATAGTAAGGGATGATTGTTTTCTAAATTGTTCAAAAATATAGCATTGCTAACGAATTTTTCTGTGATTCACTATAGGTGTCCGTCATCAGTTGTGCACTCGCTTCATCATTTCATTGAAATTCACGCAGCAAAGAATTCATGTTTGCTGCATTCATTGTCTCATGTTCTCAGCAGGGGAATTCATGTTTTCTGGCTAGTTACATATTAATTTTGAACGATTATATATCTAATGCTGTGTTGTCGATGTAAACGCCTTTTGCTTGAGGAAATTCAGTCTTCATACACCTCTTGATTTTTAGCATATGGTATACATTGCAGTGTTTGTGATTATGGGCTAGTCACAACATTTTTTTGTAAGAACTAGTGAACCAGTACAGGGGGACGAGTGGCGTAGTGGTATGAGGCGCCGCTATGACCAGATCGGACACAGGTTCGATCAGCCCATGGGACGATTAAGCCCCACTCTCCGGGGCCGGTAAATTGGTACCAGAGTAATCTGGGAGGATAAAAGCAGTGACTTGGAGACGGCTGGCCCCCGCAAGTCACTATTAGCGGGTGTAGACTCTTCGAGGGGTTTGCCTCGGTATGCAATGTATTACGGTGAAATAGACAACAAGAATGGTGGTTCAGTGGTTTATTAGGATTACTGTAACCGAGAGCGTGAGATTGTGACCTAGGGTGGTCAACGTGTGATCAAGAGTGAGGTGAGACCTCCCAGGTGGACGCATGGCAGACATGGCCCGCCCACTTGACTATGACGTCATATGGCACGGGTATCAGGAATCATCGATCGGTCGATGATAGTCACTGTAATAGGCTTGCACGCATACAATTGCCTCTTCGACTATGAAGTTAGTGTGTGCGTTTGGCGCATGCCCCCAAAGGGTACTGAAGACGCCGAACCCTCAATCCTTTATCCTTTAGTGAACCAGTAATCTCATAGATGCTAAAGTTGCAGGCGCGCTCGCTTCGGGACCCTCTCCGTTTCCCGCTATCTGATGATTTTTGAATGCACCTTACGATTCTTTATATATTAGATTTACTTCCAGCTAAAAATCTAGATGCTGTTTAGAGCAAACCCCGGTTACTTGCGAGAAATGTAGAAGTATGAGTGAGCCCCGTTAATGCAACATTCACAAAAATATGCCTTACGTAAAAGTATCCTTTGGGCAGTTCTATCTGTTCGAAAAGTGCAAGTGAAAAGAAACCTCGGCAAAAGTGATTACTGCATATTTTCATGAACAGCAAAGAAATGATAGAGAGAATTACAAAGAAGCCGGTGTCTTATCGGCCAGATAAAGTTTTTTGGGGAAACTATGCTACTGCATCTGAGTAACGATTGACAAAAACTACACTATTTATCATGAATGCCATCAAATAAGAAACGCAGTTCCTAAAAAAATCGGCTAGCAAACTTTGTAAGACTACGCTCCTCATATCACTCAATTTATTTCCCACTTCCAATCTCATGCTGATGTTCCCTACTCTGAGCTGTTATTAGCTGGTGAGCTTGATAATGCCCATTTTGCCGTATGTATTCTCATACTGGTCCACGATAACATTAAGGCTTCATTTTATGCCCATCGTGGATACTGTTGTTATAAAATTCAGTAAGTGTAGTGCGGTTAATGATTATACGAACACCCCAAATCTTAAAAGCTTATTGTATCTCATAGACTTGGTAGAAGCTAATTAGAGTGCGTAAACCACAAAAAAAGACGTTTTTGGAGCGCAATGACTCCAAAATCTTTAGGGCCATCTTGAATAAGTAACCTCCTTTTTTCTGAACTGCACTGGGTTCAGTGTGTAGCAGAAGTCTCAGACTTTGTTACTGTGACTCTAGAAAAAAGGACTCGAAAGATTGCAACCTTGAATGAATAATGGACTTTTGTTTGAGGTGTTCGTATAACTATGAACCGCTCAAAACTCGCATTAGGCGCAACACTAATTAAGATTGACATCGTTTCTATTCTTGTGGATCGTACACCGTTTTCGGCTGTGCTCTTTCGTGTGGTACCAACGGCTTTTTGAGTTTCTTCCAAATAGTCCAGAAAATTTTTAAGATTTGAGGTGTTCGTATAATTATGAACCGCAGTGTATCTAATTAATATAAAAATGAACAAGTGTACCATTCCAAAAGCTCGTTCGCTTTTTTCAAACGGGCGAGACATTTAATAGGATGAAGATTTTAGGAGATGGTAGCATCGATGCAGCATTTCATCGTCTTTCTATCGGTTATCAATGAGTTCTCGGAAAATGACCAAAACCTGCGCCCCATGCTTTTTGAAAAGATCAAGTTTCCTGTATTTTAGACTTTTATACCAATCCTCCGAAGGAGTTCAAGTAGCGATTTGATAGGGCAAACCTTATGGAATACAGAACAACTTTTTTCTCTTTTCATAGCTTGCCATAATTTCAAATTTTTTTTCAATCAAAACCGTCGAATTCAGGCAGGCGTACATCAGCCACAATCGCACCAAACATCTATAATTCAAAATTCGAGACTCACTATGATTTAGCATTAATTTTACAAAGCAATCAAGAGTCTACGGAATAAGAATATCAAATCGAGTTTTTGGGTACAGCCTGAGACGCGTTCAATAACTTGAGTTATGACATTATTATCCCGGAAGACTAAACGAGTTAGAAACAACAAAATTATCCATTAGAAAAGGAAAGAAGCTGCATCGAAAAACACCCGAGCTGCTCTCACTTCGATGTTCTACGAGGTTTTGGCGGCTGACCAAGTATGAAAATTGGTGGCATCAGTTAAAAACTTGTTAAAGAAGTATGATATGACGAGTTATGGAAAGAAGAGAAATATTGTTTTGCATCCTCTAAGATCTGCTTTATGGAGGGTTGATATAAAAGTTTAGAAAAAGTGTGAAACTTGACCATCTCAAAAAGCGCGGTCGCAAATATTGGTTAGATTCCAAGAGCCCATTGACTGCGCATTTCATGCCCTTATTATAAAGAGGATGAAATGCTGCATCGAAAGATACCATCTCTTAAAAATCTTTATTTAATCAAATGTGGAGCCCGTTTGAAAAAACGAACGAACTTTTGGAATGACCCAAAAGATGAGAATTATGCTGAAGCGCTCTCTTAAATGTCAGCAAGGTCAAAGTTTCCTTTTCCTATGACTGTGGCGAGATCGTATTGGAGAATTGCGGAGCTAGGATCTTTTAGAAAACTTCGTAGCGCAGGCCGACACTTCGTTTATTTTTCCCTATGTTTTTGAAATGCCCCACTTCTTATCAAACCTTGTTGAAGTACTAAGAAAGAGCCACGGTTTTGAATTTTGATGAAAACGGTATACGAACAAAAAATTATGTGAACACATGATCTCGTTCTCAACGAATCGATCGCTTGACTATCTTATTTTTAGCATTCATTTTTTCAATTCAAACTCCAATGTTTATTGCTCCCTCTAGCCATAAGATACACCTATCTGATAATACTCACATTATATTGGTTTATACTTTTCGTAGGACCTAAAGGTGCCTTTACATAGTTGCCAGCCAAAGTGTTGTTTGTTCAACTGGTGTTTCGCGCCCAATCGACACAAATTCGCTCTTCCATATGTTTTGTTCTTTCATCAATGTATTTTCATGTCTTATCAATCAGCGCTTCTTTGCCAAACCTCAATCACTTCAGTTCATCGTTTTCCATGAACAATTCCTTGTCTAGATAAAAAGCTATTGACATGGTAAGTTTGTAGACTACAACTATCAAGTAAACTAATTCTGTTGATTTTCCAGTCTTTTGCGGAAGTTGACAAGCTTTTTGATACGGACAACGTGCAATCCGGTTACGACACTCTTAAAAAGGTTGCGATTTCGGTTTTCGCATTCTTTTTGCAAAAAAAGTTTTATTCTTTTGCAGCGATACGACGAGGGCGAAAAGACACCGGATGTGCTTTGGAGGCTTGCCAAATTTTGTCAGCAACTCTCTGCTCGAGCGAAAGATAAGGGGAAGAGAAAGGAATGGATTTTTGAAGGTGAGGATGAGGGCGTTTACTTGGTAATGTTCCAATTTATTTCTCAGAAAAAAAAGAGAATTTTCCGTAATAGCTAAAAATCACGGAGATTAGTAATAAGTAGTATTCCAAATGAGAATGTATCGTCAATGTGCTCGCCGGCAAATCGCAACTAGTTCAAACCGCATGTGTTGTAATCTTCCTTATACGAGCGCATCAGGCGAATCCTGGAATAAAACAAATCCAGTTAGTTCTGCAATAAATGTTTAGAGCGTTTACGCCACCGCTGTTTTTATGCGAACATTTACCATTCTAAGAGATATACAAAAATAAACAAAAACGATTTCTTACAACTTCTCAGGCTTTTCAAAAAAATAGCTCCATTACATCACAATTATTTCCACTCTAATAACTGCATTAGAATAGTAAATCGAAAAAAAAATGATTATAAATGTCAAGAAAGTGATTATTTATGGTTTGAGGCGATTATCTTGCTTATTCCAAAAACCAGCAAAAAAAAAACACGCTCACAAATGGCATAGAAGATAGGCCTTTTTTGAATCTTGTTTGATTGATGTTTTTCTGAAGTTGACAGGTCGTTTTTTTTTTCAACGGTTGGGAGGGAATCCTCTGCAGAGCGCCCGTTCCCTTACGTGGACCACATGCCTGGCAAGGAAAGCGTTTTTGTTTGGAATGGCCTTTTCAAGTGAAATCTATACACTTCGAGGAGCACTAATTGCTGATTCCAAATCTGTTTTTATCTGCTGTGTGCCTTTGGACGCTGTATGAACGTTTTTGAATGGAAAGAAGTTGAACATGCTATGAAGCAAAATCGCTAAAAATCGCTCAAATGGGCCAGTGTTGGGTATTAACCCATTGACGACGATGTGTACCACCGCTGGCCCACGCACTTTTTGTCTCCAGGGACGATGTTGGGTTACCGGTGCCCACACCCCTCGCAAAATCATATACTTCCTAAGCCTAGCCCTTCCACAGTTCAGTTTTTTTCCAATTTTTTGCACTCTCAAAATCTGTAGTCTTCTTCGTTCAAGAATATGACTATAGCTGCTTTCGAAACAACTTTACATTTCGTGGAATAATCACAAATCTTTCCCACGCCGAATGTTCGTGCAAAATCGCGTCGTTCCTCAGCGCCGCCACGCAAAATTAGGCGTCGTCGTCAATGGGTTAAGGCACTTTATGCAATGGATACTTTCTGATGGTAGTATACTTATTCTTGCCACTGCTTTGTTTCGGAAGTAGGAGGGGCCGTAACAACTGATTTCATCCAAAATATACGTGCATTCTCCTATCCAAAAAGCACACATAACAGCATATAGAAGAGCGCAGCTGATAGAAAGTTCAGTCCTGGAATCAGCGTCCGGTTTTCTACAAAACTATATAAAACTCATTCGGAAATGCCACTTTGATCGAAAACATCTCCCTTGTAAGTGGAATGCCTAGCTATCGTGTAGTACATAATCATTCACTACTTGGCATCCAAAGCGTTGTACGGTCAAGGCATACTTCTGGACGAATGCAGCTATTAGGAACGAGAGCCTCGTATCTCTCTCTCCCCCCCCCCCCCCCTCCCCCACACCTCCGAGGCTGTACTCTTCGCTATGCTACCTCGCTTATGGCAATCCAACATGCTTGCGAGCGCCTTTAGATCAGAATAAACTCATCTGCAGTAACCGCCTCATAACCGTGAAGGAAAAATGAGCGCTATCACCAATGTTGACGCAAAACAGGAAGTATTTTGATAATGATAAAAAAAGTCTTTTTACAGTTGCTGCTACCTTGATCTGTCTCTCTGACCTGCGGCACGTGTGGTCAATATGTTCACAACATGCAGCAATATGTTGATGCTGAGGATGATAGGTGAAATGTTTTCTAACATGTTGTTGCATGTTGCAACATACTGTTGCACGTTGCCAATATGTTAAAGGCAGTGTCCAGGCTAAACCTAACCCCCTCCGATTAGTGTCGGTACTGAATGTAGGCCCCAGAAAAGGGGCATCTGCGTTGGTCCGGTCTTCTAACGTTGTCTCTGAATGGAGATAAGGGGCCTGAAAGTCCCTGGCTGGGCGGAGTCTGATATCAGACTCCGCCCACCAGGGACTGCTCACTACCTTGTCAATACGTGCCTCCCGACACGTATTGACAAGGTAATAGCAGAAGCTGCACACAGCACACTGCAATGCAACTGCAACCATGCAGTTGCAGCTCCTTCCCGCTGGCCTGCCGACGGGGACGGGCCATTTGAAACTCGTCCGCGCCCTCAAGACTGGGTCCCCAAGAATCGGGTTTCTTGTAAATTTTAGAGTTTGAAGTTCGGAACTGTAATCAGTGCCACGGAAAGGCCCCAGAATGACGAAAACATGGAGGGTTAAATTCTGGGTGGACGCTGCCTTTAACCGTACGTGCCAGGGCAGAGACGCAGACTAAGGTTTGCAGCAACTGTGAAAAGGACGACGGTTTTTCATTCTGTTTTGTCTGATTCAACGAGAAAATACTTCCAATCAAAGAGGCCATTCAAAATTGTTATGGTTGGGCGTGGCATCAAATCAGTTTTCAAATCTAAATCCGTAACTGCGAGGTGTTTTTCTGAGCAAGCCATGAGACTAAAAAAGTTACTGCAGTTTTGAGATCAACTTACCACCACACTCAACAACATACATCTTACCTCAAATGACCACTTCAGTCAAAACAACTGGCTTGGCGACTGGGAGGCGGGACCGTGACCTAATTATGGCTAGGTAATGATCAGAGAGCACGCTCGGGGAGAGATGCAGATTGCGTCGCGGGCACGGGCGGTCTTAATTAGGTTCAAAACCCCGCCTTCTCGCCGCCAAGCCAGTCAAATCAAAGGTTAAGTTACGAACACCTCTCTGATATGCTGCTCCGAGATTTGTGTGCATCACTGCATATAGCGGGAAAAACCATTGACGGAAATGTTCCTCACTTTACAAATGTCGCATCTTCAACCTTATTTTGTTTCTGCACGCAGGCGAGAACCCTGGCGCAGCTGATTCGAATGCTCCTCTCCATCCACTTTGATGCCAGTAAATTATAGGGAAAGCTCTTGCTTTGGAGGGACATCAAGCAGATGAGAGCCATTTCCTCGCTTTAAAATGGGCTGCAATAATGTCAGGGTCAGCTACGGATTACTATGGGCCAAAAGAGAAGATTGAAGAAGGAGCAAAGTTCAAGGTATGGATATGGTATGAATAATTTTTCTTAAAGGCAGTGTCCCGGCAGATCCGCGCCCTGGCGGATATTGCTATGGTGAGGTTCCTTGTCATGCTCCCACTGACCTCTAGGCGCAAACCGGCTGGTTGGTGTTCTGGGCCGAGAAAATAGCCCTTGAAACCGGCGCGCGCTCGGACCGTTTCGCTTACCGTTTGGCACGGGGCGCCGCGACCGCTCTCTCGCATATTGCATGCCATCCAAAGCAGAAATTACAGCAGGGTCTTCGTGCCAGAGCCTCCCAACTTCCCATTGAAATTCTCGTCCGAGCTGCCTTTTGGAAATTAGGTGCCCCAAAAAAGGTCATTTCACCCGTTTCAGAGCTCAAATTCGGGGTCTACGGGTCGAAAAGGCCCAAAACATGCAAAAATATGGAAATGCAAAATCTGCCGGGACACTGCCTTTGAGCAGATAAATGAGCTGCCTCTGGAAAGGCTGACGTTTTTAGGACCATCTAATCATAACAGCTGCTCATTATTGTCACTAAAACCCTTAAGGGTGCCGCGAAGCAATAACCGTAATATGAGCCAGTAATCCAAAACTCTACTTCCAGGATCTTTTGGATAAGGCTTTAGCTGTAAATCCCAAGGAACATTCAATTCTACATATGCGTGGGCGTTATGCATTTTCTGTCGCTAGCCTTTCGTGGATAGAACGGAAGGTAAGGCGATTCTGTTTATCACGGCTATAACACAAAGTTATGAAACTAATATTCAGGCCGCTGCTATATTCTATGCCACACCTCCCACTGCTACAATGGAAGAAGCATTGAACGACTTTTTGGCTGCAGAAGAAGTAGAGCCAATATGGATAGAGAATCTAATCTACATCATACGGATTTACCATGCAAAAAGTGACAAGGTAGAACGGTGAAATACGAGACAAAAAATCTCCATGATTGTCATATTTCAGGAGAACGTCAAAAAGTACTGCAACAAATTACTTGCCATTACACCAATAGACGAGGAAGAACGTGAGAGAGTGCAGGAAGCTCAGAAAATATTATCAAAGTATTAGGACGAGATTACAACTTTGAATCACTGGACTACATAAATTTAGATAGAGTTTTGTCTTGCTCAATCATGCAACAACAAATATATCTCACAGCGAGATATCAGGTTTCAAGCAAGAAAATGTCAAAATTGCTTATTCTTTTGCCAGTAATTATGGTCTATTCACGAAATCTAGCCCGACGATCGTTTTCACGCAGCCCTTTTGAAAGGCGTCTCTGCGCCTTTCTACAAGCAAGGCTAGGTGAGACATAGATTGTTTTACATAGTACACGAATCATGAGCCGTGCACTGCTGATCTTCAATGAATACCAGAAGCAAAACTGAAGAATCATGATTAATTGACTAATACGGATTCGTGAAGGGTTGTAGCATACCAAGCGATTCCACACCGCCAAATAACAGTAAGAAGAAGCAGGAAAAAAAAACTGTGTAAACTACACGCTCATTTCCTAGGGTTGGTCAATTCTAAGGGGTTGCAGCACGACCGTGATAGTTGGGCAACGTGTAATCACACACTACGTTCACTATCTCTCTATGATAAAGCGCACGGGTATGTCGCCTTCCCCCCCCCCCTCGCCGCGTATGTCTGAAGCCAGAAGTCGTAAACAAGATGACTCATCATCCTACCCCCCCCCCCCCCCTCCTCCACCCCACTCCAGCTGTGGTGACGTCATCATCTGCTGGCAATCAACGAGCTCGGTCGTGCTGTATTCGTAAATGGTGATGACCACCACTTTTGATTTGATGACTGAGCAAGCACACCCGTCCTCCTTTTTGAAAACTGACGTGATGGATCAACGCACATGTAAATTACTGATACTTCTACCACTCAGTATCCGTCAGTGGCGTACCGAGAGGGGGGGGGGCGGAGGGGAGGGGGGCGCCCCCCCACGAGAATGGGTCGCGAAATTTTTGAAAGTTACTTACATGAGTTATAAAAATGTGCAAAAGACTTATTTATACTTGTAAGTAATAAAAATAATTTTTAAAAATTTTTAAAAATTCAATTTAGCCTTATAAAAAATTTTTTTTCGGGGGCGTTGGGGCCGCGAAAATTTTGAGAAGCGTACCAAAAAATTTTTCTGAGTGCGCGGCTAACGCCGCGCACCTTCATCGGAAAAAATTTTTTGTCGCCCCCCCCTCCGAGCCGAAATCCTGGGTACGCCACTGGTATCCGTTTATATGCAATTGATTGTGTGGCCATCTTCACTATGTTATTCTATTCTTTGCAATTACGCTCAAATTCTGGAGGTTCAAGAGGAGCTCATTTCTCCACTGGGAGATGAACGGGGTGCTAATGTATTAAAAATTATCAAAAATCGTCTTCACTTTTATCGTTGTCGATTTCCTGCTTTTGCAATCTTCACTGACAAGCAGGGTTGATTTTTACTTGTCTAATCAGTTTGTTATAATAGATTTCTTTACAGATATTGAGCTACGGATGTAGTTTTCTCCTCAGAGATGTAAATGGGGATGTTGATAAAGAATAAAGCAATTGTCTGAGCTTCTTTTGAGCCTTGCCAATTTTCTACCTACTCAGTCACGCGGACACTCTAGCTGACATAAAAACGTGTAGAGCAATACAGGGTAAACTTACCGTGTAAAATGCTTGGAAATGCAAATGAATTTTATATATAGATTGTGGTACACAATTTTTTCTGAAAAGATAAGGGAAGTAATATACGAAGCTTTATTGACACTCTAGGGAGGAGTAAAGTTTCTAATCGTTACGCTGCAGTCATTTTAGCTGGGTATGCATGGGATATCTTCCATATGAAACTTTAAAGGGATGCAAATTATGGTTTTTGAAGAAAAGCTAAAACGGCACTCTGTTAGAAAGATGCTCTTACGGTTTCTTTTCGCAAAGAAAGATCCTTTTAGGGTAAGGAAAACAAGTAGGAAAGAGGGAAGAGGAGCGTGAGGGGTTTAGGCGCTGCGTAGGAAGACCTTATAACTTTTTCTGAGGATTTAGTCGTCCAAAAACCGATCATAAATTCTAAATAAGTCATTTATAAAATCGTGCGACGGATTTCACTGCTTTTTGCGCTTTAAAACACTCATACAAAAAGGCATCACATCAACTCACCTTAGTCACTTTCAGTGTCAAGATACTATTATGCCCAATAAATAAGTTCAGTCACTTTTGGGCTCTTACAAATGCTCCAGACAGAAAAGTTTTTGTGAAAATTTGCATGTTAAAACGAACTTATTTTTTAGCCAACCTGATATTACACGTAAGCAGAGAAAAATTCGACTAGAGGAACCAAGTGATACTGCGGCTACCGAAAGTGTCTGCGTTCGGGATGCGGTCGCCATCGTCACGATTTTTCGAATGCCCTATATTGCTGAGATGAATGAAAAAGCAGGGAAAACTTTCAAAATGATTTTGTAAAAAATTATCGGGAAAAACCAAGTAATAAGAGAAAGAGGTTGGAGGGTGAGGTCACACAGGCTGAGTAGGCACGCATTTAATATTTTGACTGAAACTTCAGAGGGGGAAAAGTATACGTAAGAAGAAGAGGAGCAGTCGCAAATTCGGCCCTCCAATGGTAAGCCGTTCGAGAAGAAAGAAGAGGTGTTTTCGCTAGAGGCCGTGAAGTGAAGCGGTGCGCATTATGGCAGACGGGCTTTCTATTTTCCAAAAAGTTGGCCTGGCAAAAAGTCATACTTCAAAGCTAGCTGCGCACCGCAGCTTTTTGCCGCTTTGGACACTATGATTCAACGCCACCGCCTTCACAAGAGCAATATCGACGAAGTTGCATTTTACATCTTTGCAAACAGCTTATGACCATCTCAAGCCCTTGATAAGCGAAGCAGAGGCGCCAAGAAGTTCTGTGTTAGAATTATATTGCAGAAGCATCAAACACGTAGAACTTACTAAAAAATTACTTATTGAAAGTTGTTGTTACCATCGACAGATGTCTGCGAGAAATAACTAACTACTATGTAAAAAGCTTTCCACAAAACTTCTACGCATGTCCCATTCCACACACAGTCAGACTAAAGTGCCGCGAAGCGGCACTTTGGTCTGGTATCAAAATGATTCACAAAGCCGCCAGCACCACGTGCAGGAGGCAGCAAGACTATCAGAGGAATTGAGACTTGAAGACTTACCACATTAGACGTTCATATGTATTAGGTCGTAAAAAAGTTCTACCAAATAGAGTATAGGCTAATTTGTTTTATCCACATCTTCCTATCAACGATATTTTGATAACGTGTACTGACAAACTTAGACTACTGATTAAGTATATTATAGGTGCTGTTCTCCAAGCCTCCCTGCTCAAACAGTCGAAGGGATACCTCCAACGGGCAAACGGCGGGAGTCTGCCACTTCGCGCTTTGGAGCGCTCCGGAGCCCTGCAATTTCACCCATTTTGGTGCTTCGGGGCTCTCTCAAATCTGGCGCCTCTCCGGAGCAGAGATTTGCGCGTCCGGAGAGAGGTCCCATTCGGCCTTTTTGTGACGTCACCGTGACGTCACGGTGAACGAATGGGACCCCTCTCCGAGACGCGCAAATCTCTGCTCCGGAGAGGCGCCAGATTTGAGAGAGCCCCGAAGCACCAAAATGGGTGAAATTGCAGGGCTCCGGAGCGTTCCAGAGCGCGAAGTGGCAGACTCGCGCCGTTTGCACGCCTGAGGTATCCCTTCGACTGTCCGAATGTGCACTCCCAGCCCCGTGGCTCAACTTCCCACAAAATCGATAAAAATCGATAAAATCGATAATTGATATCGATCGATGACGAAAAGTAGCCTACGACATCCGCCCCGCCTCGAAGTGTATGTGTGAAAAGTTCGGTCCGAATCCTAGAAATATAAAACATTCTATTCGTGACATACTTATATACAGATATACAGACATACAAACAGACGTTCAGCTTTATCAGCACAAATTTCTCTCAGTCATAAAATGCACTCGAAAGACTAATCAGAAACGAAATGAATTCGCGTACCTTCTGAAGCACACCTACAGAGCAATTCAAAATGTTACAATCTAGGTACTTCTCTTAATGAGCTTGTACTACCGCGATATGTCAACAAAGATTTTTGTTTTTCCTTTTTGTAATCTACGTCCAATCTTACAAATTGGCTGAAAGCACATATAGCACATATACTCGAGATTTTTCAAAAATTATGCAAGGCTTATGGACCAACTTGATAGTATGTCAAGACATTGATCCTATATATGGGCTTCTGGCGACACAGAGCTCAGAGTCTTGATCCTTATCTTTTGCATCTATTCGTTTTCATTAGTATTTGATCTTCCAACTGAAGGCCCTATTGTCAGAATATAGCTGAATGCACTTGCACTGATGTTAAACAATAGCGCCAGCGGATCAGTTCAACGAAATTGAAAGGAGTAGGCCAACAAAGAATTTTTACAAGTCAGCTAAACCACCAGTAGTGTAGTCCATGCTGTTCAGGATTGGACACTATTACTGTAATAATAGAACATGTCATCGAATGTTTTTAAAGGAATTATCTGCCACCCTACTTTTCAAAGGTCTATGTGTACGGCTATGGGATTATCTTGATCAAATAATTTCCGCGCGTGATATTCATACCAGTAGACTGATGGACGATATTTTTTTGAATTTGAACAGCACTCCGGTTGCAAGCAGGACCCTAAGACAACTAGAATGACGGCATGTCGTGCTTTACCAGTCGTCCATCAGGTGTTTAGTGGGATGCGAACGATGTACAGTTTGTGTCAATCACGTACCATTTTTCGCGCAGCCGGATCTTAATGTCAGGTCAAATTGTACAACGAGCAATACGAACGCGAACCGTGGCGCAAAGCTCTACCGTGACGATTCTGCCGGTGGAGAATGGAGTGCGTGATTGACTGTGTAATGTGTAGCTGTGTGTGGCTGTGTAATGCAGCTGTTGCTGCGATGCGGTAGCCTATGTACACCACAACCCTGCCCTGTTGGTTGAAACAAACAGTACTCGTCATCAAAGACAAGTTGGGGTTTGACTTGGAAATGTGAAACCTAGGGCGGTGTTTTATCAATCTCCCACTCGCTTTTTGGGCCATCATTAACGAGTCACCGGACAGGCGAGAGCGCCATCCCTAATTTATGAAATTGGA